ATCTAATGAGGTCATGTCTGTATTTACTTATTTTTAAAATATTTTACTTTATATAATTCTTACATCATTTACATCTTTGTACAATGTATGCATTTTCATTTTGGTTATATTCCCCATACAATTGTACCCTCCCCCCCCTATTTTGACTCTAGTTCTTCTTCTCCCCTCCCCTCCCTAATCCCCCCCCCCAATGTGTCTCTGATTTATAGTTGCTTGTTGATTTGTTGATTTTGATTATTACTTTGAATTGATTAGTCTTTTTCCTGGTCTCTTATTTAGGTTTTCTAAATTCCTGCTATGAGTGAGACCATCCAGTATTTTTCTTTTTCTTTCTGGCTTATTTCGCTGAGCATGTTCCCTTCCAGCGCCATCCATGTTGCTGCAAATTGCATGTGTTTATCTTTTTTGAATGCTGAGTAATATTCCATGGTGTATATGTACCACATCTTCTTGATCCAGTCATCTATTTTTGGGCATTTGGGTTGTTTCCAAAGCTTAGCTATTGTAAATAGTGCTGCTATAAACATAGGGGTGCAGGTGCCCTTTGGAATTACTGTTTCTGTGTCCTTTGGGTAAATACCTAGGAGTGGAATTGCTGGATCATATGGAAGCTCCATGTTTAGTAGGTCTAGAAATCTCCACACAGCTCTCCATAGTGGTTGGACCAGTTTGCACTCCCACCAACAGTGCAGGAGAGTTCCTTTTTCTCCACAACATCGCCACATGTGTTATTGCTAGTTTTTTTAAATATGTGCCATTCTCACTGGTGTAAGATGGTATCTCATTGTAGTTTTGATTTGCACTTCCCTGATTACAAGTGATGTTGAACATTTTTTCATATGCCTGTTGGCCATTTACATTTCCTCTTCAGAGAAGTTTGTTTTTAGCTCTTCTGCCCATTTTTTGACTGAATTATTTTCTTTGTTTTTGTTGTCTCATCAGCTCTTTGTAGATTTTTGTGATCAGCCCTTTATCATTAGTGTTGTGTGCAAAAATGTTCTCCCAGTAGGTGGGGTTTCTCTTTGTTTTTGTTATTGTCTCTTTTGCTGTGCAGAAGCTCTTTAATTTGATGTAGTCCCAGCTGTTTATCTTTGCCTTCACTATCACTGCTTTGGGTGGTGTGTCTGTAAAATGTATTTAAATAGTAGAAATCCTATATAAAGGTGCATTACTGGGCTACTTTTACAAATTCTGCATGCAATGATATTTGTAGTTTGTAGTTGGTAATGGTAGGAATGTTCCAGTGAAGAAATTTGGGGAATGTTACATAGCAAGCTCTTGCTTCTGCCAAGAGCTTATTGTTAAACATATGTCAGCACATCATTGGTTAAGGAGGTATCATTGGGAACAGAGGAGGTTTTATTTTATTTTATTCTGATTCATTTTATTTTATTATTACTATTTTTTTCCACATAAAACTTCTTGTGAGAAATCTGTGCAATCTCCAGCTCACCATTTGCCATGACCAACATTGGCCTTTTGTAGTCTCCAGACTATTCTTCATTGTTCTCTTGTGTTCCTTATGCTGTTTTCTCCAGATCTGTTTCTTTTCATGCAGACTATGTCTTGCAAGCATAAATTTGGGTTCATTTTCCTATGTGTAATCCAAGGAATCGTAAATCATGCTCAAGCCAGTTTTCTTGCTACCACCGAACTAGGCTTTTGAATCCAAGAACAAAAATGACATCTGATGCTTTCTTTGTACATTTGGGCTAATTTTTCCAGAATTTCTGTCTTAAATACTATTGCCTTCCCAAAGTGAAGGATGTCGATGACATTTGTTTCTGCTGAAGTAGTCAGTTGGTCATGAACTTTGTGTTGTGGATAGATACTGTGTGATTCATGATGGAGGTTGATCTTCAGTGAGGGAGAAAAAGCTTATTCTATTTTTTTACATTTTATCTTAATTTCTACTACCTAGGCTAGATTGGTGCTCTAGTTCATTTAATCATTCAATCAACAAATAACTTTCGATTCTCCACTTTCTGGCAGATAATTTTCTGTGTTCCTGCACATATTGCAAGAAAGGCACTAAATATCCTTTGTCTACATATATTGAATAGGCTTAGAGTTTTGTCTCCTACTGGAATGAAGGGCAGGCTTGCTTGCTGCAATACATTCCCTAAACTCAGTTTTCCCCTCTTGTCCTACAACTCGCTGTGTCTATTGGTGTCACCTGGTCCTCTTGGGGTCACACTGTAGACCTTGGGACTCAAGGAATAACGATACTTGGGCTACAGCTATTGCTGTAATTAAACTGTCCTCATCTCTTACCCAGAGTGTCATGCTTTCTACCAATATCAAAGAAACAGTGACCGGCTAGCTCATTGGACAAGTTAGGGTAAAAGTAAGTAGAGTAAAATCTCAGACTCTTTCCCTTGCTTGATAGACTCCGGGCTTGATCAGACAGTGAGTGGCTCAGTGCTAAGATAAAGAAATGGACAAGGCAGATAAGTTGACCCTGTGGAAATCAAAATATCTTGTGGGATTATAAAGCATTAACACTAAGAAGCATGAAACAATTATACTGGGCTAAGAATTGAGAAATAGTGGAACAGTGATGTGACAGAATAGTGTGGCAGGCTAGAGAGAAATCTGCTTCACAAGGTCGTTGGGGACATTCTTTCTGGAGGGAGATTGAGAAGAAGGGGGTTAAATCTGAATGCTGAAGAGGAGAGGCTAAGTAACACAATAAGGACCACAGTGATGTAATGAAGTAGCCGTTGTTGGTTGGTTAGTGAAAGTGATTTTTTTTTTTTTTTTGAGAAGTAATTTTTCTATCGCCAAAGTAAGTAACAGTAGTGACAGGGGATTTCTGCCTCTTTCCTATTTTGGAATCATGTCAGATTCTGAATATTATGTAAAGGTTTGGGATTTGAAGAAAAAATAATAATGGGGGGCTCGATGAGGGTAGTTCAGTGTGGTGGGTGGCCGGAAGCAAGGAGAGCAGACAGGGTGCTATAGTATGAGGAATAGAATTACTGCATTGTCATCTACACCCTGGTAGAGTTTGTAGGGGAGAGAGAATTTGAGTCAGGGATAAGTTGCTGAAAATTGAAAAAATTTCTCTCAACCATTATTTTGGAAAATTAAGGAGCAAATAAATGCATAGGGTATAGATAAACTGCTGAAGGCTTTGAGTGTAGTTAGCCTCTCTCAAGAATTGAAAGAAAGTCTTCTGAGGCCCAGTTTCTAACACTTAATTGATTGTTCCATGACTCTCTACTGTCCTTATAAGATGTCCACATCTTTTTTGGACAGGTTGCTTTCACAGACTCTTTAAACTTCTTAGACTTGAAAGCAAAGATAGACTAGTGGAATATAAAGGTTTTTAAGTCTTCTACATATGCGGATATGAGTATTTCTGTGGATTTTAAAAAATACATGCTAGAATTTGTACGCAAAGCAATTTAAAAATATTTTTATCTTAATTATTTTTATTGACATAATTGGGCATATAAGTAGTGTTTCAAATAGAATCTGTAAATTGGTTATAAATATAATTGCTTGCTTCTTTTAGCACCATCCTTATGTAATTTAAAGGTATGCAAAAAGTGTCTATCCCTGGTTATGTAAACAGAGTGGCCTCTGTGGAGTTTCCAAGTAAAACGTTAACAAAATAAGTGTAGAAAACATCCAAATTGTTTTCCTGTGAGATTTTGCTAAAATGAACATATTATTGCAAAAATGTATCCTTACGTTTACCAAGTACTTAACATCCATTATCATAGTCGTATAAGAATCCCCCAAAGTAAGTTGCTGTTAATATTCCTTTTTTTTTTTTTTTTTTTTTTTTACAGACAAGAACGCAGGCTCAAAGGGGTGGAACAAGTACCGAGGACAACTCTGGCGTCTGTTTCAACCAGTCTGCAGAAGCGCAGCTTCACTCAGGTCCATTGGATGCGACCTCTAGTGGTTTCGCGATGCCATGAAATTCAACACAGGTGTGCAACAGCGACCAAGGCAGAAGATTTGGAAATTGATTGCACTTTGGCCAATTAAAATTTTTAGAACTTTCAAACTGTGTAGTCAGAGAGTTCTTAATACATATTAATGATTTGATTTCTTAGATAGAAAAGGAGTGATGAATGCAGCTGGGACAATTTCCTAGGAGCTGAGTTTCATGCTGTGTGTAAATTTGGTCACACGCTCGAAGTATCAGAGGGAGAATCTTAGGGCAGACAGAAGAGAAAATAATTCATCAGTGTCTCCATCTTTGGCAAAATTCAGAAAGGGTGCATGAAGTTTCTGAATAATTCTTGTTGAATAAATAAAGTAGGAACCACTAATTACATGATCTGTTTCTCTACTATTGTTGAGTTGGGAAAACATTTAAACTGTAGAAATGGCAGTATTTCCAGCCAAAATATCCATAAATTTTAAATTCATCTGTAAGTAAAATGATATATTTATATATAATAGATTTGAATGATTCCTCTATTTGGATTATTTTATCCAGCATATTTCATATTAGAAATCAGGACTATAAGTGGATAATACACCTTCAGAATATTTTTGAACAAATGATTATTTCATTTTAGCTGTTTATAACAGGGAAATAGTAGACCCAATAACTTATATTGATTTGGAAATTCAACATTATAAGGATTACAATTTTTTTGAGATATTTAGAAGTCAATTTGTATTGTAATAAGTTATTTTAATTTGTGATTTGGTTCTTATAGTCAGTAATTTAATTAGTTTCAATAAACATAACAGTTACAGGAGTGAAATAAACATAATGTACTGAAAAACCTCCAATTAGTAGATGTAATGATCATTGACTTTCCTCAAGAGGGCAGCAAAACTGCACAGCTCAGTTCTCCAAGATCAAGATGAAGATCTTAAAAAGTCAGTGCACACACATTCTTTGACCTGATCATTCATATTAGTCCAACTAATTAAACATAACATGTGTTGATATTTGTCTTGGCATTTTATGAAAGTTTAGCCTTCCCATTGTGAAATGAAAAAAATTTATTCTTCCTTTTAGGGTAGACAAAAGAACTACACTTGCTTGGAGTCTCAAATACATTGTTTAAATAAGTCTGAATGTTCAGGTAAGCTATGCTGGATAACAAAGAAGTAAAAGCTTATTTTTTCTGAATTATTGATTTACTACCAGTTCGATTGTGTTTGACTTTATTCGTGCCATTTTGGAAATCGCCTCTTCATTTATGATGTATCTGATGTAGAATGATTTTTAAAAATAAATCCCAGAGTGAAGAAAACTTGAAGATTAGCCCTAGAAAAAATAAGGAAATGAGAGAACATTGAATGCACCCTTGTCACCTCCAGAGAAGGTCAGTCATTTCCTAGACCACATGCCTTTAGTATTTGCTGCATCTTCTTGTAATATCCTACTCTCAGTGCCATTCTTGCACTCACAATGTGGCCAAGTGATCCCTATAAAAGTGTTTTACCTAATGGCAGCTCAAAATGCTTTTCTCTGGTGTATTTGCATTTAATAGAGGATTTGTGAGGATGGGAAGATTTTCAAGGTGTAATGTAATGGATTATAGAATGGTAGCATTCTGGACCTAAGCAGGTTTATCCTTTGTATACAGCAGACTTTCAATACATAATTTTTAAATGAATGGATAAAGACCTAAAGTGATAAATGAAATATGTAGCTATTCTTCCACTTGCTCTACGAACAGAATAGAAATTCTTTTCCTTTTTGTGAGTCTAACTTTGATGGCAGAAAAAAATTAGCTTATATTTCATGGAAAGAATTGATTAAGTCTAAAGTATTTGATAAATATGCTTTACAATATATATAGAATAGGTTGAACAGGGGTCAAGACAGGTGGCCACTGTGAACAAATCTAAAGTCTGAATTTGAGGGATGGTTCTCATTTCTCAGCTTTTTAAAGCTCTTATGAGAATTAGTATTTATATTTATAAAGCGTATAGTCTCTGAAAAATACCTGTGCTAGCTCAATATTGAAATTTACCACACAATTAAAAAAAAAACAAGATAAAACCTACCTTTGATTTCAATGAATTTATAATCTCCTTGGAGTCCAAAGCATGCATGAAAACATTGGTAACCATTAAAGGTGTTGATCACTAATGCAAATGAGTGAGTGGTAAGTACCAGGATGAAAAGTGTTCTGTAGAAGGGGAGGTCAATAGGAGTTAGGCTCTAGGGAAAACTACCCAGAGACGGTGACCTTGAGCTTACTCCTAGAGGACAGGTTGGACTTTGACACAGACAGAAAGGGAAGGTGTGTTAGGACAGCAGCTTGTGTAAAGATGTAAAGGTAATGAGCATGCACATTCAGAAAACAAACTAGGGAAGATCTACAAATTGGGTGGTAGTGAGGGCTAAAGTTGGAAAGGTAATCTTGGGCCCCCAAAATAAAGATTTTGGAATTGATGCTATAGAAAGAGGAATAATTTAACAGTGAGTAGGTGAATAATGAAAAGACAATCATATTTGCAGAATATTAATTTCTCTCCAGTTCCATTGCTTTGAAAACCATCAAGAACCCATAGAATAGCATAGCACTAAGGGGAGGCGTGTCGGGAATGGATTAAAGACAGTGGATGTGTTTGCTTCTGAACTGTGAATATTACAGTTCTGTGCTGAGTTATATATTCAAATCTATCTGTGATATATTTTAACAAAGTTGACTTAGATACATCTGTCTCAAATTCATACCAAGCTAGTATTAGAGATTCCAGCCTAGATCTAATGTATGTATCATTGTCCCCAGGAATGCATTTAAAACAAAATATGAGTTCCAATGATGGTACAATTTTAATTTTCACTAAAGTAAGTGCTATTTCTAACATCAACATTGGTAAACTCATGGTTAGAAGGAAATATGTCCTTTTTAATAGAAAGCCAATACATTAAATCAAGAACATTTTACTTCTTCCACATGAAAATTAGTTACAGAAGCAATGTTTTGTTTTCTTTTTTAAAGATTTATTTATTTGTTTATACAAGAACCAGGGTACAGGCCAGATGTGAGGGAGGGTGAGAGGATTCACCAGAGACAGAGCAGGGAACAGAACAGCCAGACTGACGAAATACACTGCTGAGGGGAGCAGCAGGCGCAACAGGAGAGGTCTGCCATGACACTTGGGGCCCTTGCCGTCCAGCCAGTATCGAACTGGCACTGCAGAGGCTGTGGATAGCTTCATAGCGCAGCGCTCAACCACCTGCGCCATCAGGGGAGGCCCAGCAATGTTTTTTTTGAAACGAATATATATTGCGGAAATATAAACAGCATATTTTTAGACACCAAACTAATGTCTTTGCCAGGTTGCAGTTGCATACATTCATGATGAGTATTATCACTAATCATCAATTCTAAATGAGATTTTGTTTGAAATTACCAATGCACTACTTAATGACATATGTGAAGCTATTTTCTTATGGAAAATTATAAATAAAATAGAATAGACAGACAAAAATATACTACAAAGTTCTGAGAATAAAAAAGGTAACATCTTGAATTCAAGCTCTGGCACTGGAGTTATTCCAGCACCTAACAGAATTTGGTAAATGACAATGGGGAGCAATTTCATCGATACCCAGTTTATTCATTTTCCTTTCTCTTTCCCTTTTTCTCCCTCCCTCCCTTTTTCTCTTTCTCTTTTTCTACTTTGCCTTGTCCCAACATCATCATGGTTCTCAAATTTTTCCAGCTCTTCAGTTGAGATTGTTTTCACAAATGTTTTAAACCTGGACTTTTTCTCTCTTTCTGCCTTTATATTCAAGCCATTGCAAGAATTTGGTTTTTCTTCTTATAGTGTCTCAAAGTGTGTCACTTTCTATTTTTCTAACTGCAAAACTAGACTATCTTATTACTTGGTCCCTTTTAATTTATTTTATTGCTTAGACATTTTCTTTATAAATATCCTCATAGTACATCTATTTTCTATAATGTCAGATAGAAAAACTTGTAATTCTTTTTCTTTTTGATTTCTCCTACTACCTCAAATACCCCACGTCCCAATTTTGCTATCATGAAAAGAAATGTGTATGCTATATTTTCTTTCACTTTGTTTCTAAAAGTCTGAAATTATAGATTTAAATTAATTTTATAATATAAGTACTGTAGGTATTCTTACTTTTAAGAATTGGAAGCTGAGAGATGAGAGGTTTAAGTCAATCAACAAATATTTATTGAACATTTCGAATGGGTGTGGGTAGTCCTCAGTGTGACAGAAACAAAAGAAATTTAATACATATTTAGAATATTTTAGGAGTATTTTCTCACACCAGATTTGCAAGTACTACCAGAGAGTATGAGTTTCCTCATATACTTTATTCTTGATGACAATCAATGTAAAAACTAACAAAACTCTATCAAGACTTTAAACTGTCTTCTAAGAGTAGGGACAACCCAACTGATGTGTACCAAAAGCTTAATTCATGCCAACTTTATCAGCACTTTTCACGTATTTACTCATTTATTCATTAAACAACTATGTGATATAATCATATTAACATAATCATCAAATAAATGATAAAACATAAAAATATTTAAGTTGTTTACAAATGGGTGGAGTGATGGATTTAAACTCAGCTATTAGATCTCTAGAATTAACACTTTGGGTCATATTTGCCTTTTGTTACTCTGTCTTTCCTCAGTACTGCCCCTAACTCCATTTAGGGGCATGATGATCTCATCGTGTGTCTCAGATAAATTAAATAATTTTTTAAGTCAGAAACATTCTGTTTGGAAATAGTCAAAAACAAGGACTTACTAAATTAGTAATTACTAAATTACTAAATTAAATTTTAGTAATTACTAAATTACTAAAAATTATTCTTGATCACAAAACATACAATATAGTTAGAGATACTAGATATGGAGATGTAGTTAAGTGCAAACTAGTCATATCTGTACTAACACTGTACATAGATATTAAATCTCTAAGAAATATAGTATAGATAGTAATTAGGGAAGGAATTAGAAAAGGATCTGGAATATACTGATGTATAGAGGAAATATTTTCTGACAATGTTGAAGAATGTGTAGGTTTTGAAGTGGGCGTGTGGGCTGGGGTGGATTGGGAGGCAGAGAGAAGAGCATGAAGACAGAAAGAAATGTGCTATTTGGAAGCAATCAAAAGTGATGAATGCCACTTCCAAGCAGAAGCTGTGAGAGCTGAATTGTGGTTTGCCATGCTCTCTTTGCTCTTTTTTGTGAGACTGACAATTTTTTAGACAAGGACTGCTCCATCAACTTGAATCTCAGAGTAAAGAAGCGTGAAGCAGAGTTCCCTGACAATCCCTACCTCAAACTAGAAATAAAACTTTCTATTTGTCATTGACATTTTGGATGATTTATTGACACAGCATCTCCTAGCTTATATAATAGGCTCATAGGCAATTTCAGTATCCCAAACATTAATGGTTAGGGATTTAGGCAATGTAGAACAGGAGACAAATCTAAAAGTCAATGTGACGAAAGAATCGAGAGGACTTAATGACTGATGGGTTGTGAGGTACAAAGATTTAGAAGATATTGGCAAGATGACCTTAAGGATTTAAGTTTGGGAGAATGAATTATTTATGAAAAGTGAGGACAGAAATGTGGATTTGAAAGGTAGGTAGGAGAGAAACCCTTAAAATCTTCAAGTAGTTGAAGATATTATGAGTTGGGGTAAGGAGGAAAGTTGTCAGGCAGATATTGCTTGGAAAAATTTGGTAGTTCAGAGAAATTTCACTGTACTTAGATAATGAACAGATTCAACAGGTTTTTTTTTTAAATTATGTTTTATTTTAAAATTAGGCACTACATCTACATATCTGAAATCATAAAAGAGGTAGGAATCCAGTGATATGAAATGATGCTGAGGAGATGGCTGGTAAATATGGAATTCAAAGTCTGTAAAAATCAATGACTATGAATGTATGTTTAGGAACAATCTGTGCAGGGGGGAGGGAAACATCTCCTGTGAAAATGTTTGGAAGACAAGATAGGCATAGAGATGCACTAAGATGAGGACAGGGTTGATGGTCCCAGTGTCTCAATTACTCATTAATACTGTAGGCATCGTTTGCTAAACTTGGGAAGGTGGGAGGGGGAGAGTT